GAGCAAGGGTTCACAGACATCACAGGAAGACCCAGAGAAATGTCTAGCCTGGCTCATGGGAGCTCACAGAGTCTGAACCAATAACTAGGGATCCTGCATGAGACTGACCTGGGCCCTCAGCACATGTGTGGAGTGTGTAGCTTGGTCTATTTGTAGGACTCCTGGCAAGGGAAGCAGGGACTGTCCCTGGTGCCTTGGCTACCTCTTGGAAACCTATTCCTCATGCTGGTTTGCCTTGCCCAGACCAGGGGGAGGTGTTTGGTCTTATGGTAGCTTGATATGCCATGCTTTGCTGATGCCCAGGAAAGGCCTCCCCCTTTCTGAGCACATACAGAGGACTGAGGAGGCTAGAAGAATTGGGGGGCGGGAGTGGGAGGAGAAGAGGGAAAGGCTTCTGTCGGGATGTAAAATAAGTAAATAAATAGATTTTTAAAAAGAACAATTTTAAATTGATCTGAGGGAAATACATTTTATTTCTCAATCCAATTTCTAAAGCCCCAAAGCCAGAAGCTTTGGGTTAACATTACTTTCCCCAAATTATTGTGTCTTCTTTCTTCTAAGGGCATCATTTTGAGAAACTGTTAGTGCTTACTAAGGACCAGGGGGATGCTAATTACTAGATTGTGATAGCAAGTGGTCTCTACAGGAGTTACAGGTAAACAAGGGTTGCATGGATCTCAACTTGCAGTTACTTTCTCACCATGAGGACTCAGGCAATTTAGACATTAACTGCTTCTTCTTCTTCTTCCTCCTCCTCCTCATCTTCCTCCTCCTCTTTCTTCTTTTGTTAAACATTTTTCATGTTTATTGGCCATTTGTATGCCATCTTTTAAAGTTTTTTATTAATTTACTTTTTAACATTTCATGTCATCAGCTTCTTAAGCCGTGGCACAATGGCAGTGATGGATGACTGTGGGACTCTCATGGCAGGGCAACACTTTTTACAGAATAACAACAACAACAATAACAACAAAAAACCAAACCTCACTGTTTCCTGTCCCTGAGAAGCCATCTGAGTGCTTCATGTGTGTTTCAGAAAAACAAAGGACGTGTGCATGAGATAAACCCAGATGTGTTGCCAAGATTGATAGCTGAAGTCAAGGACTTTCACCAGATAGCCCTTGGTTCTATAAACAAGAATCCCGGGAATGGCAGGGTTCTCCCTCTGTCACTCACACACACCCTTCTCTCTCTCTCTCTCTCTCTCTCTCTCTCTCTCTCTCTCTCTCTCTTCTTTTAGTTGATCTGCCTTAAGAATAGTTTAAAATTTTAAATACACACAAAAGTCAAAAGAACAATGCTGAACATTCAGCTGCAAAGCTCACCAACATTTTACTAATTTTATTTTGCTCATATTCCACTATGCATCCCTATGATGTGGTCTTTCTTGTTTATGTAACCATGAGGTTGTGATTGCAGCTATGAAAAGCAGTAAAAATGCTTCTGTGTTTGAAACCCTGCCCATGTTTAACTTTCCCAGTAGTTTCAAATGTTTGTTTTTTATTGCTAGTTTGAATGGGGATTCAACAGAGTTTTACAATATACTGCATTTTGCTGTGTCACTTAAATTCTTATGTCGCCCTTCCTTCCTCCTTTGTACCATTTGCTGAGGATGTCTGGCCATCTAACCATCAGCCTGTAAAATGTTCTGTACTTCAGATTCGATTGATTGTTCTGTATTGTGTCTTTCAGCCTCCCCACCCCCATAGTTAATGTTAGTATTCATACTCCAAAATACCCTGGTGACAGGGAAGGAACTTACCACATCTCAGCCAAGAGGAAGGTAAATCAGTTTGCTGTTCTAAGACACAGAGTATGGAGACAGCTTTCAACAGATGAATGGTACCTGAGATGGGGCAATGGGTGAGATTGCCCATGGGAGAACTACTCCAGGATAGGGCATGGTGGGAAGTCAACACAAAGTATGTGGTTGCAGGAAGGAGACTGCGTAGAAGACCAAGAAATTGGGGACCGAAGGAGGGAAATCCAAGAGCTGAGCCCCAGGAGCTGAGAGGGTTGAAGGAGATGGCCCTGTTTAGCTTGTGCCATGCTTATAAAGCATGTGCAAATGATATGCAAGTATTAGTCAATAAAGCAGGTAACTTTACATTCAGTATGATCTCAAGGAAATAACCCAAAAGCTGTTTTGTGGAAGACACCGTATATGACTTATTTGGGAGAAGAAAGATGTAGAGATTGGTGGCACTGAAAAAAATTAATGGCATTCATATCACTCTCCTGTAAAGGTCAGGGGACATTGAGGAAGAGGGGTAGGAGATGTGTAAGAACCAGAAGATGGGGTGAAAGGCTTCAAGATGCCATCTAGACTTGACACAATTCCAAACACGACCTAACCACCATGGTTACCGTACTGACCTGCACAAGACTGGCCCTGTCAACAATGTCACAGGTTGGGGAGGGACTCAAGAGACGCTATCCCTTGCTGCTGAATTATTGGCTATTGATAAGATTCTGGGAAAGGGGCAGTCACTGTCCACCAGGCTCTGATGGGTGGCTCCAAGGTCACACAGATGGTCCCTGGTTAAACAACTCAGTGGGTTACAAAATAAAATGTATAGACAGGAATTAAGAGAGAAACAGTTAGCCGGGCAGTGGTGGTGCATGCCTTTAATCCCAGCACTCGGGAGGCAGAGGCAGGCAGATCTCTGTGAGTTTGAGGCCAGGCTAGACCGACAGCCTCCAAAACAATACAGAGAAACCCTGTCTCATAAAACCGAGAGAGAGAGAGAGAGAGAGAGAGAGAGAGAGAGAGAGAGAGAGAGAGAGAGAGAGAGAGAGAGAGAGAGAGAGTTGCAGCAGGGAGATGGGAGAGGGTTGGGGGTAAGTAGTCAGTAAACATTGTGTACATGTGTGAAACTGTCAGTCAACAAATTTAACAAATAAAAAGAAATGGATGGAGTTGGGGTGAAAGCGAGTGCCAAAACCTAAAGTTTCTGTGAAGTCCTTCTAGATGAATATAAAACTCAGCCTCTCTATACTTGTACTTGAAGGAATCCATCTACACACTGAGCACCACATCCTGGCCCCAGGATTTCTCACTGGACACCGCTTTCTCACTGGCCCCACGATGCTCACCAGTTACATACTCACCAACCCTTCAGCTGGTCCAGTGTTGGATGCTGGGACTCACTGGAGTCACGGCACACTTGTGATCAAGCTTCCTTCTCGTGTCCTTTCTCCAGAGCTATGGCTCATCTGGTCCACTGTCTCAGCAGAATCATCAGCTCGTTGGACACCAACTGCCAGCTGCACAGAGGCCTGAGAACTCACGTTTCTAGCAGTTTCTGGGAGGTAAAGATCATCCCTGAGGACCCTCTGCTAGTCTCAGCTCTAGAACAAGCTCCCTCAGCTAACTGCATTGCCCTACTCAGTGACAGACCAACGTCAACCAGCCTGGCTCTAGTGGGAATTCATAGCTTCCTAAGGTAGCAAACTATTCCTAACACAGAGCTGTCACCTGAACAGTTTTTTAAATGTTTAGTTTGGTGGCTTTAAGTCTATTCTTTCGTGCATCCATCACTACCACTTAACTCCTGAATTTCATCTTTCCCAGATGAAAACTCTTTAATGCCTCCTAAACAATAACTCTGATCTCCACCCAAAATATTACTTATATTTCTGTGAATTTGATTGGATATTTCACATAAGTAGAATCATGGTGTTTTTTCTTTTATGATTTTTTTCACTTGTCATATTATCATCAAAGTTCATCCATGTGACAGAATGTCAGAATTTCCATCTCTCATGGCGGAGTAGCATCCCACACCCACTGTATTTACAGGCCACATCTGTCCATCTGGTCCTGGAACCCTGGCTGCCACCCTGTATAAACAGCAATGTGCTGATGGTTCATTTGCATTTCTTCCATTCTTTGGCCAAGCTGAATAACACTGTCACTATTTGAATCCTCAAATTCTTTCCGGCACATGCCTACATGTGGGAATGCTGAATCATATAGCCATTCTGTTTGTTGCTTTCAATAAATACCTACTTCTGATTGGGTAATCTGTAAAGCACCATGTAGTGGAGCTAATACATTATCTCAATTATTTCCCATACAAACCCCAGGAGGCAAATATTACACCCACATTTTACAGACAACACAGACATTTCAGAAAGAATAACCAGTTGCCCAACCATGGAGAAGCCCAACCATACTTGGCCTTTCATGTGTCTCCAACACCCCCAGGCAAAGTAGAGTAGAATGTTGTACACAGTGGCCTCACATTCTCACCCTTTCTTTATACTTCCTATCCCTTAGCTGTGTCCAGAGAGACTGTAAGTTGCAGGGAGATGCAGCATTACTCTATAGGCTCTCTGAGCAGCAGCTCATTCTTCACAGAGCAACTAGTTACCATGTTGTTTGGTTTTGTTTGTTGATGCACCTTTGACAATGGTGGTCCTCCATGATAATTTCCTACTTAGTTAGCTATCATTATAAGTCTGATTCAATTTCTGAAAATAATAGATATTTATCCTTGAACAGCTTTCTGGAGTACCAGGAAATCAAGGTGGAATGACACAGAAGTGATTTTTTCCCTTCCTGTATATTAAAACGTGGGGATATCAGATATAATGATGCTTTATACTGACTATAGAGGTGGCATGATGTCTTGGTGGCTCTGGAAAATTGGGAATACAATATCCACTTACATTAGGGAAGAATTAGTGACATACAGTCTTAGGAAGAAAGCTTAATTTGATACTGCTTTTTTAAAAATAATAAACTTTTACTTATTCCATTGTGTTTTGAAACTGGGTTTTACTCTGTAGTTCTGGCTGGCCTGGAACCTGCTGGTCTAGAACTCACAGAGATCTACTTGTCTCTGCCTGCTGAATGGATGCTGGGATTAAGTGTGTGTGCCACCACACTCAGCCCATATAAAAAAAATCTAACTTCAGACAGAAAAACCTTCCCAGCTACAACCACAGGAAAGTCAGTTTCTTTCTGGTTATGTTTAAAGAACAAGACGTTATGATTCAAAAATCGAATAAGTATTTATTGTTCCAGAAGGTACATTGCTTTTTATACATATTTCATAAATGATACAGGATTGTACATGTGTTCAACATTTTGCTCACCCCCCCTGCCTCCCACACCACCCAGAGGATTCACTCATTGCACTGTGTCTTTCCTTCTGAAGAACCCTGCACACAGACAGGATGAATGGATTAAAAATAGCCCACACAACAAGAAGAGACGGGAGAGGGTGGACAGCAGGAAGGAAGTGAGGCTGGGGACTGAGACATGCATCCTCTCTCTCTGTCATGCCAGTGAAGGGTGGCGGCAGAAGCGGCAGTCCCGGCTGGCCTTCAACCTCTGCAAGGCACCTGGAGTCTGGGTTTGTCGTTTGAAGGTTTTCTTTCATACACAATGACCCCAAAAGGAGGAGGAAAAAGGAACCCCTCACCCCACAAGGAGGGATGAATCACGTGAAGGGAAAAGAAAAAGCCAAGAGTCAATCAGCTGTGTGAAAAAGCCCCATCATTCTGCCGTCCTGCCCCCGAAACAGTTAAAAACACAACAGTAGATAGAGATTTCTTAGACGTTTTTGAGTGCAGGTGCCATCTGGAAATATAGTAGAAAACATTCTGATAGAGTATAAGATTAATTCTTCTGTCTCTCAATTCAAGATTAAAAAAAAATAAACCACACACACACACACACACACACACACACACACACACACACACACACACACGGTGGAGAAGGAGGCTAAAGAAAAGCCATAGAAAGGTGTTTGTGTATAAAGATAACTGCACCCTTTGAGATCCGCCATCCATTTACAGCAACTGGAGTGGTAGAGTCGGGAGGGCTCACAATGGTGAGGAAGTGTGTGTCTTAGCCTAACCACGGTTATCCCGGTCCCGAATCAGCTGTGGAGCCATGATTTTTAGCTGATCTGTAAACCTTACACCGTCCTCATTTGGTAACACAGATGAACACTGGCCCTCTGGCCTGTGATGTGGAAGAAGTGGGGGTTATCAATGGGACTGGGATCTTTTCCTTCTCTGAAGACTAATTAGTAAAAAAATAAAACAAAATACAATTAAAACCTCATGCAGTGTTGCCAGTGATTTCTAGACAGCGAGCAAGTCAGAGCCCTGGGAGATAGACATGAGAATTCATGAAGAGATAATCCAACTGTCAATCTTCAAACAGTCATAAGTTGACTCCAATGATTATTTGGATAAAAGTAGTGTAGTCAGCGGGTATACATAAGTGAGTAGCTGGTCAGAAAAGGGACCCAGGATGGAGAGATTCCTGGTAACTTCACAGAGACTGGGTTCAGCTTAAGATGAAGGTTAATCTCACTGGCTCAGACTCTGCCAACCACAATTTATAAAGATTTGCTTTCTTATATATTTATTCCTATGTCAAAAATAAGAAACTTTAAATAAAAAAAAAGCAAAAAACAAAACTAGATCTGAGTGGGGTGCTGGTGTGTTAGTGTTTTGCAGACCTTGCAAAGATGCAAGAGACGAACACCCCAGAATTACCCTGGCTTCATTCTCTCAGCTGTCACTGCGTCGTTCTCTTTTGGAAATGAAGATGCTTAAGACAAGATTCACTAAGCCCTTTGCAGGTATACTTACTCCACGATGCCTGATCCTCAGAATTTAACATCCCTTTCTTCCCTATGATCCTTTTTGTGTTTTGTTTTAGAATTAAAGGTAAAAACCCTCTCCCCCACATGGCCCCCCTGCTTCCACTTGCAATGCTTTGATTAAAAAGGCATGAGTTATAAACAGGGGCTCTCTCTGCTGGGATTCACGCTCTACGCAGATCAGTCCTTTTCTCCGATCTGTCTGAGGGGCAGATGTATTTGCAGCGGGTCTCTCAGTCTCTTAAGGTCCATTTCTGCCTAAAATAGAAACAACAGGTGAGGAAGGGTGGCCAGCTTTCAGCAACATGCCTGCCTACGGAGAGAGGGAGCAGCCTGTCCGTCATTACTACAGTCAACTTCCTCAAGGACTCTGAAAAGTGGAAGACAAATGTCTATCACCCAAGGCAGTTGTCCATCCTACCAGAAAAGCAGAATGGCCATGCAGTATAAAGACCGCAGCCTAAGAATGCAGGGATAACGTCAGACACCCGTGACAGCATTCCTCAAAAACCGTTAGGAGGAACCAAACCTTAACCTCTGCCATTTAAGACTTTGTTTATTCAATATCTATTTAAGTATTTTACTTGGTCAGTGAATTATTATTATTTTTTGAAATAGGTCTTTCTAAGTAGTCTTGGCTGTCCTGGAACTCACTGTATAGAGCAGGCTAGCCTTGAACTCAAGAGATCCATCTGCTTCTGTCTCCAAAGTGCTAGGATTAAAAGTGTGTGTTACCAGGCTCTGCTCGACTTTGCTGTTGCTTTTTGAGGTAGTCTCAGTCAGTAGCCTAGGTTAGCCTCCAACTCACAGCTCAGTGCTAGGATCATAGGTGTGAGTTTTCACACCAGCTAGAGCAAGGCTAACGGGAGGACGTGTAGCTGACCACAGCGTCTTTGAAGCATCTCACAAGCTTGGGTCTCATCTTTACAGTTGTATGAGTTAGCTGTGGGCGGGGCTGACACAACTGTATTTGAGGTTTGGGATTCGCCTTCTTTTCATCCACTTAAGTATGAAAACTAGAGGGTATGAGGCTCTGGTGTCTGAGAGGCTGAGCCAGGAGGATCACTGGAGGTAGATGCCAGCCCAAGGCACACATCTCTTAAACATCATCAGCAACAACAGCCGGGATGTAGCTCAGCTGACCTGATCTCAATCCTTGGCATCTCATAAACCTGATGTACAGTCAGTCCTAGCACATGGAAGGTGGAGGCAGGAGGACCAGAAGTCCAAGTCATCTTAACTGTATAAAGTGAGTTCAAGGAAACCAAAGGTTACAGAAGATAGTGCCTTAAAATAGACAAACAGAAAAAAATGTCCTAATGAGAAACCAACCTCCTTAAAAAAAAAACCTTCTAGCTAAGTGTCTATTGCTAAAGTTTTTATTAATCACCTTTACCCAGGATACAGTAGCTGTATCCCGTCTTCAAGCTACCCAGATGAAGAACTGTGACTATGGATAATAATGATGCTGCTTAAGATAGGGGAATTAAGAATTCTAAATTCTTCTAGAATTTACCTGAGCAATTGCATCCTTGAGTTCATTGTATTTCTCTAGATCGAAACGTGACTTTTTGGCTCCTTTATGGAAAAATAATAAGTATTGTCTGTCTCTGGCTTCTGGATAAACATATTCCTACAAAACAAAGGAGAAATTAGTCTATTAGTCCTCACTAACAGTATTCTAAAGACATTTATTAACTGTTGGCTCATTATTAACATTGATTATTAACATTGGTTAGACTCAACAATATATGCATACATAAAGACAGAACAACATGCTGCGCTACATATTTAATTATTTCTTAAACATTTGTTTGCCTTTTGTGTTTTGAGATCAAGTTCTTATATGTTTCCTGGGCTGGCCTGGATCCTGGGCCCAAACCATCCTCCTGCCTCATCCTCCCCAGCAGCTGGGCCTACAGACACTTGCCAGGATTTGATTGTTCATTTGTAGTCAGAGTCTATTCATTTCTTATTACCACATGGTATTAACCTGTAGTCCACATCACGGAGTATATCCGTCTATTCTACCACTGCTAAGCGGATGCTATCATGCCTGGATTCACGGAATTTTATTATTTCAAGGAATTTGCCATAGTACAAAGATTCTTTGAGAACAAATGTAACACATCATTGTATCAATTTAGAAGAATTTAGATGTCGCTTAACAGTCATTTTATTCTTAATTCAGCTAACATTTCTGGTCAGAGGTGTGACCAAATGTTTACTACTGCTATATCACAACTTGTCACATGGGGCCAGTAACAATATTCTGGAAGCAGAGCATCTAACCTAGGACGGGCACAGTATTAAAGATACATGGTACTGAAGAAAGCGCTGCCACTGTGTTCCAGAAAACACCGTGAAGCCCCAGTGAACAGGTACAAAGAGGAGCTCTCAAGTGGCAGTAATCACCTCCCCCACAGCCTAGCCCTCCCAGGATGACCTTGCATTTACAGCAATCTCCTACCCCTGTTACCCAAGCACTAGAACACAGGTGTGTGACACATACCTAGCTTCTTCAATACTTCTGCTATTATTCTAGATCCAGATTATTTAGTTTTCAGAAACAACCACACATAAATGAAGTCAACAAAGAGAATGTGGTATTTATAGAAAAGAGAAGCTTCGGGGCAGAACACAGTTGGGTTCAGTTCTCAGATGTACAGTTTTCAATGTGTAACTCTTATCCTAATGAGCCTGATTTCCCCATCTGTAGGATGGGTATGTATTTATAGAATTGGGACTAAATAAATGAGTGATATGTATTTATGCATGGATGCTTTCACAGATGTGAGAAGGTGGTTTAATATTTTCATAATCAAACCCATGCAAAGTCCAAAGGGAAATGCCTCCCTTTTTATTTGATTGACTGGCAAGAATACATCAAAGACAGTCTCTGAGTTCAAGGCATAACTAGAAAAGTTCTTGTATGTGCCCAAAGGCGTGTCTCTCATTTATTTCATTTGTTCATTTTATGCTACAGGGTAAGGGAGTAACACGTGAATGGCACCCTGCCTAAGCAGGTGTGGTGGAGCACCCTTGTAACCTCAGCACCTAGGAGGCCCAGGTGGGAGGATCCCAAACTTCAGGTCATACTGAGTTACAAAGTGAGAACCGTCCCTCAGTAAACAAACCACCACCTTCCACTAGAATAAATAAATAAACAAACATCCACACAAAGATCATACTAGAGTCTCCTTTGAAGGAAAAGACACTGAATAAATAATTATTAGACAGCACAGGGCAAGAAAAATGAGAGCATAAAAAACTTCAATGATTCAAGAGAAAAGGGAGACACTGAGCTATAAGAAAATGATCAAACATTCATGAAAGGTAAGAGTTTAAGTAACCCTTGAAATATGACAGATAGAAAAGAGCAGGGAGAACCTTCCAGACTGAAGAATGGTGTGAGGAGAGGAATGGAGTAGGGGGAATGACCAGCATGTCAAGGGATTAGAACACAGTGCAAGAGACATTTAAGGATGGACAGCAATCAGTTATGAAAGCCCAGGCTGGGAAGGAGGGAGAGGGAAACTGAGGCACGTTGTCCCCAGAGAGGCAGCTGGGTAGGAAGCCATGGTTGCTAGGCCTGTTCACTCGGGACTACTATGAGTCACAGGAGCACAGCAGGGCCTGGGTGAGCATTCAGAGGACATGGACACTTCTCTTCCCCTTCTCTACCAGGTACGTTTGGGAGGCCGAGAAAGGTTACAGAAAATTCCCATGCTTTTGTTTGCCCACACATGCCTAGGTCCATGATCACTGATCTAATAACAGGAGGAAAATGCCTTGTGCAAAAGCAGCCATGTAAAATTCATGAAGCAACTCTTAGCCTGCTTTAGACACAAAGAGAACTCGGGGAGTCTTGTGTGTCTTCGCTGCTTCAAATGTTTCTTATTCAAGGTAACGCTGGTTAGATCCAGGATAACAGACAAAATGACAAGTGCTTACAGGGGCTTGGTGGTGGAGTGTGTGTCTAGCGTATGAGAGGCCCTGGGTTCAATCAGCAGCACCACATTGAAAAAAGCCATAATCCATCATGCGCCTCAAAATGGCACCATGGGTTTCTATGACACTTGAACCAACACTGTCAATAAAAGCTGGTTCTAGAAACTAGTATTCACTAAGGTGACTGGGTTGATAAAGAAAGGATAGACTGAGGATAAAGTGACCGAGTTCTTACGGTTCACCTTTCTTTTACGAAGTCAAAACATCCTTAAACAACAAAGAAATAGCTTAGAGCTTAGTTTATGAGTTCAATTAACTATAAGGAATTCTTCATTCTAAAAATTCAATAAAAACTTGGGTGGCATATATTTATATGTAAAATATTTACATAAATATATAGAAAATCAAGCCATTATGGCTGGAGATGTAGATCAGTGGCAGTGTGTATGCGGCCCTGGGTTTGAACCTCAACACTGTAAAAAAAAATCGTATTATAAACAAATAAATATCACGCAAAAAGTTGAACATGTCTTATTACAATGTTAACTCTGGAAGCATCTATGCACGTGAATCATAGTGACCAAGGCCATGTCGCATACATCCCTCTCCATCTTTAGCACCTACAACAGTGCCAGCACATAACTGAGAACTGGTCTTGAAAACTCCACTCCTGGTTTGTAAAGGGACAGGGAGAGGAACCCTTACCTGGCGTGTCATCACGAAATATGCATACATGGCCATGGCACTTCCATATGTGATGAAATAGGTGACCGGCTCCATGATGTCCCAGGAATATTCCCACCAGGTAAGCCGGGCCAAAATGCCGAACTGTGTGGCCATGTAGGCAAGGCCACCCCATAGCACCAGAGTTGTCCTCTTCTCAGCTTTCCTGCTAATCTCAATTCGTACCTGGTGGGAACACACGGACAACTTTAAGGCACCTGCTTTGGAAACAGCTTACAACGCTTTTAAATTGCTCTATGTCCACAAATCGAACGACTCCATGCCAGCAAATGTAACCTGCCTCCTAAATAACAGTGGTGGTGTTCACTGAACACAACGTCTACAGGGACCACTAGGATTTCTGTGCGCTTTGTTACGTTTTACCCTAGAAGTTGGTGGAAATATGAGTTTCGACAGCTCTTCATCTGACTGCAAGGCTAACTTTTGAAAGGGGCATAAAAGCTGCCATGTTCTCTTACTGGTGTGTTGGATTCCATCTATTACAGGTTTAACTCCCATTTATCCCAGGGCAGAAAGAGACAATGAGTTGGCACTGACTGTGGATTCTGGGCAAACGTGTTCAGGATGAGATCTGCAGACTGCCATTAGCTTTCTTATCGAGTAGTTCTAAAGGCTGAACAAGACATCATGTGATCATGGCTCAAGGCAGATGACATATAGTAACAACTGTCCACAGGAGAGTGAAGGCACAATATCGAAGGGACTTATTCCTTTCTTCAACCCCAACTATCCAGTTTCTTAAAATGCAAATATAGTCACACGTCACACAACATTGGACAGTGAGGGACTGGATCTATAATGTGTGATGATTCACGTGTTTGTGGTGATGCTGGAGTAAGACCACTGTACTGCTGACACTGGCAAGAGGGGCATGATTCTTGAAGGTGATGGACAGCTATGCTATTGGTGACAGTATTTTCTGAACTATCCTCTCTATTGTTATTTTAGAGGTGGCTACACAAGCCTCATATATGTAGGGTCATCACTTCTCTGACTGTATCAAGAGGTCATGCTGACCATTTAGGTCTATGCAAATACACTCTGGGAGGTTCTCACAACAAAGTCTTTTAGAGACATTTCTCAGAATGTATCCCCATCATTAAGTGAGCAATGACTGTACCTGCAATATCATAAAGATTCAGGTAAACATATTCACTATAATATATTCTAAAATGTGTAAAGGAGAAAAGCCAATCATGGGTCTATGGATCAGATATTCCTTCTGATTGTTCTTTGTGTATAAGTATAAACCTGCACATGAATATGTGTAATGGTATATGAATAATACATTAAAACTTGGGTCATAACAGTCAATGTGATGGCTCAGTGGGTAAGGGTGGTTGTCAGCAAGGCTGATGAGCTGAGTTCAATCCCTGGGACCCACATTGTAGAAGAAGAAAACTGATTCCTGCACACTGTCCTCTGCTCTCCACATGTGCTCACCGTGGCATGTGCATGCCCACACAGTCACACATAAATAAACATAAATAAATAAATAAATGCAATAAAAAAAACCTCTGGAACATATTCACACTGCTTTTAGGATTTCCTTCCCATAGCAATGATATTTTCTATAGTGAATTACGTTTACATAATAGTATTGCATACACTCTCCATTCATAACCTGGCATCTACTACATTCAGAAGCTCTCCTGGGCAGCAGTTACCCTAGTCTTTGTATTAACAGTGGAAAAGGTACAAATGGGCCTCTGGAATCTTGGTCTGTAACCAAGGCTCCAGACAATCCCTTTTAAGTCCTCTTTTGGTTCTCACCGGAACCTTTAGGAGGGTTCAGACCAATAAGCTAATGGACAAATCTGAGTAAGGGGACTCAAGTATATCAAAGTGAGACATGGAAGCCCGTGTGTACCAGGGGGTGAGGGATGCCACACAGCGGGGTGGGGGGATGTCTGAGGGGGTCCTCACCTTCTCCAGGGGGGCCAGCTGCTGCTTGAGGTTCTCTAACCTCTCCACGAGCTCCCGCTCCTTGTTGAGCTGATGCTGCTCGATGCACAGCGTGGTGTAGAGCTGCTGGACCAGGGTCTTTACATCATTCAGGGTTGCTGCGTTTTCATGGCTTAGGAGGTCTGAAAGAAAGAGGTTCATCATTGTGGTCAGGATATACTGTATGAGAGAAGAATTTTAAAAACCCCTTAAAACAAACAAACAAACAAATAAATAAAAACAATTGAACATCTTAGCCAGGGGATGGCTCAGTGGGCAAAGGTGCCTGCCACCAAGCCTGATGACCCGAGTTCAATCCCGGGGAACAACATGGGGGAAGGAAAAGGACTCCTACAAGTTGTCCTCTGATCTTCACATGTGTGCAAGTGGGAACAAGTGCACACACTCAGAGTACGCGCACACCTACATAAATAAATAAATAAGTAAAATGTGATGAAAACTGAGCACCTTAAATGAAGAATTGCTATTCCCAGATCTATGAGACAATGACAAGGCCATGGGGCAGGTCCATCCATTATGGGAGTCCTTCACCATTACACTGAGTAACAGTTTTTAAAATATCAGTCTATAAATCAAGGAAGTAAATCCACATGGGGGTGACTCAAAAACTTTGGAATCAATACCCATTATTTTATTCTTGGAGTTCAAGTATTATGAATATAGCCACGACCAAAGGAAATGGGAAGGGTAACCCCCAGTGGTGGGTGTGACAGGGGAGCTTGTCTAGCATACTAGGCCCTGGGCCTGATTCCCCAGACCTAAAAAAACAGTAATAGTACCAACAGATGGACAAGCACAAAAAACTTGGTTCAAAACCAGTCAGGAGGGTCAGGATCAGCCTCACTGTAAGTCTTTATTAAACGGTTGATTTATAACTTATCTGTGGTCTTGACATTCCCACTTAGACACTTCTGAGAAAAATATATATAGCATTTCAAATTTGCAAATGTAAAAGCAATAAAATAAAATAAAAACAGCATCACTTTAGTAATCTTAACACTACATGTCTCCAGCACACTGGCCAACTTCTATTCTACCCTGTTTATCAAAGACTGAGAACAGCTGTGTGGGTCTCAGTATCATGCTGTAAGGGCACAGAGTTATGAAAATGATCAAAAAGGTGAAAGATTAAATTCTTTGATTCAGTATCTTCAGGCAGCAGGTGTCTCCAAAAATCTAAAATGTGTTGAGGCTCTAGTAAAAAATTCAGCTACATTCCAAGCCCTGATCAGTCTTTTCCCTAATCAAAATTTGGCTCTGTGACCAATGAATAATCTGTTTCCAATATTCTTTAGTATAGTTATCACAAAAAAGTTAATCAATGAAGAAATCTACATAAGCCAGAGAAGTGGACTGGAAAAGAGCTGTTGTGGTAGAATGTCCAACATGGAACCTTCCAGAGCTTCAGTCAATGTGTTTGGAATCAATGGCAACAGAAACAAGAGCACTGAGTTCTAGAAGGCATCCAGACAGCAGGATCCTCTCACAGCAAGGCTGCAAGCTCACATTGGAATACAGCTTATCACACAAGGACACTGTATTCTAGAAGCCATTTCTTCTGTAGACTGTCCAGAACATTGCTGTGCTGTGATGTGATGTGAAGCTCCCGACTTCCAAGGTAAAATGAAACCTCCTAATAGTACCCCCTCCTCCACAAATAAGTTCTCTTCTGAAAAGATACGTCCTGAAGTTGATATGAATCTCCTGTGGTTAACAAAATTCTCTCCTAAACAGTATCCTATGCTGTGATGCTGTGGTGGTTTAGATGAGAAAGGTCCCCACGGCCGTTTGAATGCTTGGTCCCAGTTGCTGGAACTGTTTGGGAAGGATTAGGCGTGGCCTTGTTGGAGGAGGTGTGTCACGAGGGGCAGGCTTTCTGCCTCCTGCTTTTGGAAAATGATGTGAGCTCCCAGCTGCTGTTCCAGTTCCATGCCTGCCGGCTGCCACGCTCTCCACAATGATGGTCATGGACTCATTTCTTCTGGGACCACAAGCCCAAACAAACCCTTCTCTAAGTTGTCTTGGTCATGATGTTTTATCGCATTCATACATGAGGTTGATCTTTGTTTTACAACAAAGGAAATTTCTCTCAGAAAAATCATTAAAAATGGATTAGTTTAAAAAATAATCTTCAGGCTATGGGTTCTACTGTGTAGATTTAATTAATTAAGAGACAGTGCCTCATTATGTAGGTCAGGCTGGCCTTGAATTCATCTCATGATCCTCTGGCCTCTGCCTCCTGATCTGGAATCTCAGGCAAGCACCTACATGCCTGAGAAAGTCGTTTTTTATATCAGCCTTCCTGTGTTCACTGTGGCAGCACATAATTTTTTTCTCTCTCCTAGGCTGATGTTGTAGTAATAGGGTTCTTTCCCTCATTTCACAGGCACAGAAACACTTGTAAACATTTTTAAAAACTTCTTTCAGTACATTTAATGTCTTTTCCTTTAAGATTTACCTTCAGATCCATACTCCCTCTATCAAAACAGTTGTACACATTTTCCTGACATACACACATCTACATCTTCCGTGACATACGCTCAATGCTGCATGTAAACTGTGGCAAAAGATGGAGTCATCTCCACGTTCTGCCAGTAAATCACAAAACAAGCAGTGAGGCGGTGAGAGGACTCATCCAAACAGATACAGCACAAACGCCACGGGAAAGGAGGAGGCATTCCATATGAGCTGGCACGGCCAGGCCATCATAGCCTCCTACTGAGTAGGAGAAGCAATTTTGGCTTTTATGCCTGGTCAGTATTGAGTGTTTCCAGGAATACCTTTCTATGAGAGACTCTGAGTCAAGGCTAAGCTAGAGAGAAATCTAAGTGCGATTTTGGAAGGAGGAAGTGATCATGTCTTGAAGGGTGCTGAGGCTGGGAAGGAGGCAAACACAGGATGTCTGCTGATACCAGCTGTACCTACTCTCTCCTACTGTGTCGGGTTTACCTCTCATCTGCAGCATTTGTTGTTTAACAGAAAATTCAGGCCCAGGACCAGATGCAGACTTCTAAAAATGGCCTGTCCAATATGGGAACCACTAGCCACATGCTTCTGTTTATTTTTAACTAGTTATTTATCCTAAACTGACAAGTAAAAAGTATATACATTTATCATCAATATGTTATTTTGAAATATGTACCCACTGTGAAATGGCTAAACATAGATATTTATTACTTCACATGCTTTTTTTGTAATGAGAACACAAAGTATACTCAGTGATTTCAACAACACAATACATTGTTTTAGTGACAGTCACCCTACTTGAACTTAATCAACTCTAGATTTTTTTTTTTTACGAGACAGGGTTTCTCTGTATTGTTTTGGAAGTTGTCGGTCCAGCCCGGCCTCGAACTCACAGAGATTCGCCTGCCTCTGCCTCCCTCGTGCTGGGATTAAAGGCGTGCGCCACCACCGCCAGGCTCAACTCTGGATTTTAAAAAGTTTTTTGACTAATAATTCTGTAACTTCCCATTGGTTAAATTTAAATTAGTTGAAAAATCCAGTTCTCCAGTTACAGCTGATTTACTTATGGCTACTATATTCAACAGGGTGAAAACATAACATTTTTAATATCAAAGATTTTTCTTTTTTGGTACTGGGATTGAACTCAAAGCCCTGTGCCAGAAAGTTCTATTAACAACACAGAAGAATTTCTCGACCTACAGTACAGCACTTTATCTCGGGCCTCCACTAAGATCTGGATGTGCGTGGTCTTCCAGATCCTCTAATGAGCTACCAGTTACCCCATGGTTCCACAGGTCTAACATTTCTGACTTTTCTCTGATCCATCAAGCTCCCCTTTCGAATTCCCCTTCTCCAGCTCTAGCTATAAATTGTAAAAGGTCTTTCTCGTACATAAGTATTTTTATGTGTGTATATGTATATATGTGCATATTTGTGTGTGTGTACTGGGGTGGCAGAGACAGGCAAAGACATATATGTGTGTGCATGTGTGTGGGGATGCTGGAGGATAAAGTTGGGTGTCATCCTTAGGACATCATTCACTTTTGAGACAAGGTCTTTCACTGGCCTGGAGCTCACCATTAGGGTAGACCAGTTGGCCAGGGAGCCCCATGGATCTGCCTATCTCTGCCTCCCCAGCACTGGGTTAATGTCCCAATGTTAGACTCTTTTTTATATGTGTTCAGAGAACTGTGAGGCAATATCATTAATGGTTAACTATCTCCTCAGGCCCCTACCATAAATCTTTATTTTATAATATTCATATGGCTTTGCTTCTCTGAAACACGATACAAATGACACAAATAGTATGTATGATATGTTGCTATTTACTTAAAACATGTACACATATTGGCTTAAGTGCCAAAAAAGAGTATCTGGGGAATAGGGATTAGGTGATTTTGGGTGCTGAGCCTTATTAATGTATTATCTATTCTACACAATAATAACAGCATACTAATATGCTACCACAATATCTTCTAACAGCAATTAAAAAAACAGATAATGATAAGTTATAGATCTCAGAGAAGTGCCATTCTAGACCTGGCTGAAAGTGAAGTTATCTTTTGACTTATGCACTGGTAAAGGCTTGGTGGACTTGGAGTTTACCATTTATTTGTCAGGGTGCTCTAACAAGGATGAAATGACACTTTGGGGCTGCCAAGGTACAGGTGACAATAATAACCCCAACCCTTGACCCTGAGAAGTCACTGAAGATAAAAATTTTCCTAATGGCTTAGCAATAGTTCTTTGGGTTAAATCATATATGGTATACACACACACACACACACACACACACACACACACACACACACACACACACACAAAATAATAATAATGGCATGTTTACCAACATCTCTGTATACACTACTGGTCCCAGAATAATAATGTCAGAGAGATATGCTAATATAATGAGCCATGGAAATTCTTGTCATCCACAAACATAATTTGAGAAGGTCTTGGCTATCTGGGTCTCTAATGAGGCAGTCATTATCACTGGTTACTTTGCCTTTTCGACCTCATTCCTCAAATCATATCACTAAAAAGTAAGGTCTCTAACTTCCCGTGGATGGCTAAATGGGAACTGGCTTTAGGAGTGCCAATCAAATGATTCTTCTTAGTGGGGAAAAGTCATATCATCTAGTGACATGGGGTACATTTTTTTCCTTTCCAAGAACAAGAGAAAGGTAATTACTTCTCAGGCTTTTTTTGCTCCTTCTATATTCTTGCTTCTGTTTAAGACTTAAACAATGAACAGCCGTGGCCACTAAAGGAGGCTCAGAACTGGCAAGTAGACTTTCCTGTTATAACATGTCTCCTTGTTCCAGCCTGGGATAGAGGTCCTCTTGTTCCCCTGGCTTAGGCACAAGGCTATCAGTGCCTAAGGATCCACAACACCTACAGCCTGCTGTCCCATGTACACATGGCATGTGGCCATACTGGACTTGGTATGAATGAGTCCTTTGTCCATGGAGCCTGGTGTGTGTGAATTCATAGTTTATATAACGTTCTGAGTATTTTTAGTTCTTACAAGCCACAACACACTGCCACACACATAATTCTTTAAAAATATATAGGAAGCCAAACATGGTAGTGCATACCTACACTCCAAATGGAGGGAGGGGGGACAGTAGGATTGATAACTTGAGGCCAGTCTGGGCTCTATAGTGATACTGACTTAAAAGACCAAAAACAAAACAAAAAGTCTTTAGGAACACTGCTGAGTTTACCAGACTTCCCATTTGGGTACAGTTCTCTTCATACATTCCAGACTCTTGACTCCTGGAAATTCATCTACTTCTAGGGAAGCTAGGCAGGGATCTCACAGTTTCGAGACCAAAAAAAAAAAACCAAACCAAAACAAAACAAAAAAAAAAAACAAATCACCTGTGAAGCAAATATAATCCCTCCTCTGATGAGTTTCTACTTTAGCTTTCCTCACCCAGCTTGATAGCAGCCTTGTTTAAAACACTGAGAAATCCTTGGATTAATCATAGTTTTCAGTGAAACCTCTCAGTTTGTACAATTGTATACAGAAAGTCACATCTACTCTGCTGAGTGTTACACTTCATTCATTTATTCATTCGCTCCTTTTCTGCTGTTCTGAGAGTCTGGCCTCTGAACAATTAAAATGCTCTTTGTTTGGGTTATTTAAGTCCTTCATCATAGAGTGGTCTTGAGTCACAGTGCCTGCCTTCTTAAAGAACATTTACAGAGAAAAAGAATGCATTTAAACCCAGCACAAGGGATGTAGAAGCAGGCAGGTCTCCAAGTTTGAGGCTAGCTTGGTCTACAGAGTGAGCCAAGGCTACAGAGTGAAAGCCTGTCTCAAAAGAAAAAAAAAGGCATAATCTTTGGTAAGTCAGGTATATTGAATACAGTTTATATTTACAGCTCCATTGGATTTATTAACCACATTGGAAGCCAAGGAATGCCTGCACAACTGACTTCAGACTGCTTAGCTTAAACCATTAAAGAAACAAAATGACTAATCCTTGCTAGTGTTTAACAGATCAGAGAAACCCTTTGTTTAAACACAAAAAAGATTTGCTTCATCTTAGTTTAACATATGAGAATCTGTCCCTGCCATGATGGATGTACTCCTCTGGAACTGAAAGCCAAAAGAAGTTATCTGCATGGAAAACGAAAGGTTGGTGAGTTGGTTCAGTGGGCGGAAGTGCCTGCTGCCAAGCCTGAGGACCTGAGTTCATGCTGAGGGACTTTCATTCAAAGAGAGAAAAAAGTGGTAAGGACACTAAGGTCAGTGAGATGGAATGACAAAGCACTCCTGTGTCAAGGGGGAGCCTGGCTTAGCACACGGCCAGGCTTGCTGTACCAAAACTGTGAAGACCACATGTTGCCAGTTTCTCAGGGTTACTCATGGAAAAAGCTAAGTTCTTTACAAAGACCTTCCCACATTTACAAAACCTTGCTAAGGCTGCTTTTACCTCTCTTTGGTGGCCGTACATGGTATGTTAAGTCGTTAATGACGAGCTTAAAGTCATCGAGGAGGAGAAGGTCTATTCCCGTGGAGGCAGCCACTCGAACGCCATCTGTGAAGATGTTAAATGAAACTAGTCGGTCACTGACCCATAATTATTTAAGAATAGTCAGAAAAAAAAACAAAACAGCAGCAACAACCCCCAATCCAGCAAATCTCAAATAGCTTTAGAGTGGTCTCTCCCACCTCTCTGCTAACCTTTGCCTCATACCCCCCCCCGGGCTATGCTAAACATAGAGCAGCTTGTATAATGCTTTGTGTGTAGGCCAGCCCTGATGATTTAACAATTGCCTTTCCAGCAGCTGTGGGAACAAGTGAACTAGCTGCTGGCCACAGACCCACAGGGCTCAGCTGGAATGTGGAGTCACCTGTGGAGCAGACTGGTGTGAATCTCATGGGGGGGGGGGGGAGTAGATTCAGAGCTCTTGATCACATGGTACTTGGCAGCCCAGCCACCCATAAGCTGCTAATTAATTCAGTAGGGAAGGATGTGATGGGGAGCCAGGGTACCAAATGGGTCTTGCCAAGTATGCTACTAGATGAGTTTGCAGTGTTTAAAGCACAGAAGTTAATACTCGAAGGACAGAAGTTGGTGGCTGTCATAGCTGGTGATGCCAATTTTTCTGTAGGTTTGAAAGACTTTTCTAAGTCAAAGTGAAAACAATCCTTTTGGCACTTAAATAAACAGATGTTACATCAAATGAGAGTTTTTAGTGTCTTATTGTATATGCTCAAATCATAGACGCTATTTTGGTAAACATTTGAGGACTCAACTACCGGAAAAACATATTCTGTACCTAGGGTAATGGCAAGAGGCCTCAGTAACATGTAATGTGATTGCCTGCTTGTCCTTGTGATGGCATTCGATGTGAGCTGCTTTTGAATGAGACTCCCTGCGGGCACACATCTGCTGACACCGAACAGTCCTGAGGGCCACTGGGACAGAAAGGGCTCTGTCTTTTACACTTGTAAAGCAAGAACTCCCATGTTTTCTAAAAAGAACAGTGCAATATTCTTTTGTACTGAGCTGTTTGGGGTGGGGCACTCGGAGGAGGTGAGAATTAAACATGGAGGCGACTGTACCTGGTGAATAGATTGCAACTCTGTCGATTCCCCGGTCCTCCTCTTGCAGTTGCCGTAAAAACACACCCACAGAGTCAGAGATAGGTTTGAGTGTGAATTGGCAGCGTTCACGCCGAGATGGCAGCCTCACAGATATCACGGGTAAGCCATTTTGATAGACCACCGTCACATCTGAGCAAAAGGACCCACAAACACATGACAATTAGGTTTTACTGTAAATCAAAATCTCATTGTTATTCCTGCCTATGGTAGGGCCACCATTAGCACAACTTAAAATGTTTCTCTTTTCTTTTTTTGGTTTTTCGAGACAGGTTTTCTTTGTGGCTTTGGAGGCTGTCCTGGAACTAGCTCTTGTAGACCAGACTGGTCTTGAACTCACAGAGATCCACCTGCCTCTGCCTCCCAAGTGCTGGGATTAAAGGCGTACACCACCACCGCCCGGCCAACTTAAAATGTTTTAAAAGAAGATTTAAGAATACAAATTTGTAGGGTTAGTCTAGGGGTAGGCTCATGAGAGATCAAACAGAACAAGAGACTGTTTTTTCAGATGTAAAAAATACACAAGGAGCTGTCTCCCGAGTGGGCCAAGGAGAGGCTTTTGTGGAATGCAACACAGGGAGCTCTTGGTATGGCTGAGTCAAGGTTTTATTAAGTAGCCAAAAGCGGGGATGGACTGACACAGCCTACTGTAGGAGGTGTGTCAATTGTGGGACCCAGAGTTTTCGAAAACTCTTCCCAGAGTCTTCGAAAACTCTTCCCAGAGTCTACCAATAACTGAGGCTCTTCCACAGTATGATGGACCGACGCTGAAGGTGTAATATATCTAAACAATCAGTTACACAACACGATGTGTAATGTGTTAAAACAGAAATCAGCCCCTTCTGGGTGTGAGTGCACAGCCCCGAGTTCAGTCAGAAAGCTCAAGAGAATTTCACAAGACAGCCCAAGAAGAGGAGGGGGCTTACTACACAGCATGGACAGCTTTCTTCACATTTCACAAGAAGAGGAGGGGCTTACTACACAGCATGGACAGCTTTCTTCACATTTCACAAGAAGAGGAGGGGCTTACTACATAGCATGGACAGCTTTCTTCACATTTCACAAGAAGAGGAGGGGCTTACTACACAGCATGGACAGCGTTCCTTACTTTCTTTTCTCTTTCTTTGGCAGTTCCCACACACAGAGCCTTAGTATAAATAAATCCCAGAAAACCCTAAGAATAATTTTCAGATATATTTTTAAAGCAAAGTTTTCAGCTCAAACCCCACATTAGCAGCTACACACTGAAAGATGATGCCAGGGTGAGGGGGAAAATAGACTTTGGAGTAAAATTTGGGATTGGATCTTGGCTCAGCCAGCATCTTTGAGAACTGTGTAATTTCTATGGGCTTCACTTTTTTTTCCCCACACAGAGAGTGGGTTCCTAACTCTGAGAGATGTTATGGGGAAGGAATGAAACAATAAGCTCCCTCTGGGAACCAACAGGTATCTCCTGTTACTCTCACAAGCTTCACACCCCTCAAACTTCCATCAGAACCTGTTCCAGAGATTCCGAGAGCATTAAACTTTCCAGAACTGTCACTCACACCCAAGTCCCTTGTCTGTCTTGCAGCAACACCCCAACAATTCTTATTTCCAATGGACATCTGATGAGTTCTGATATGTCTCAAGATCGTCATCGTCATTCCGCCAGACTCCTTCACCCCACCCCTGCAAATCCCTTGGTCCTTTGCAGCTGCTTTTAGAGCCTACTGCATTTGATTCTGTAGTGTGTCACTGGAGCTATATGACTCATAGCTCTCCGTATATGACATCTTTCCCTTGGCAGGGTTATGAGACGCATTCATGCTATTTGCAATTGTAGTTCATTCGTTGTATTTAAATTACATTTTTAGGTTAACATGCAAACTAGTGGGTTCACCCTGATATCTTCATCCTGCCAAGTACTATTTGGATGTACAGACCCATTGCAATTTATCTTCACATCTGCTAACAGAAAGTGGGTTATTTGTAGTATATCAATAAAGCTTCTGTGATTACTGGTTTAAAAGCCTCTGTGTGGAACGTTTGTTTCTGTTGGACAGCCAGTGTCTATCTGTGGCAGATTCAGCCACCTGCAAATCAGTAGTTAGGAAATCTTTGTGCCCATACCCAACAAAATATACATTATTCTCTAAATAATATAATGACTATTTACAAAGCATTCATATTACATTCAGTACTCTAAATCATTTCTTTTCTGTCTAAAGAACCCCCTTAAATATCATTGTTACACAATTACACTGGCAAAGAGTTCTTTCCATTTTTGTATGTCTGAAAAAGTCACCGTACCTTAACTTTTGAGAGAGCTAATTTTAGTATGTAAAAGAAAATCTAGGTGACAGACTGTTTTTTCCTTTTGGCACTTTTTGAAGAATTAACTGGATTGTCTTGTCTTGCATGAAAAAGGAAGTTCGGGTATGTGGCATCTTTACTTCTCTGTGTGTAATACATCTGCATTCCTGTGTACTTTTCACACTTCCTGGTTAGCATAGGTTTCAGTGGCTGGATTGTGACATGCCTTGTGTTCCTTTAAGATTATTATCTTAGAAAAGATCTGTGTGCATTCATAGTATTCACCAAATTGGGCAAACATCTAGCCATTCTTTAATCTTCTTTCTGTCTTCCATCCCACTTCCCGAAAGTCCTGTGTTCATGTTCGATCACACGATTGCTGAAGCCTTCTCCATATATTTCAGGTTTCTTCCACCTCTCAGCTTCTGGGTCAGTTTAAATGCTATATATTTCAGTGGATCTTTTCTTCTACAGTGTCTATCTTCATGTTAACTCCTTCTACATATTTTCTTTTGTGTTTTTGTTTTTCTGCATTTTGCTTTTTCCTTCTGTTATCCTGCTTTTAAATTTCAGACATAAAAATAATCTCCAGAAATTCATTTGAATTTCTTTTTTTAAATAAATCTTTTTTTAAAGATTTATTTCCTTATTTATTACATATACACTGTTCTGCCTACATTCCAGAAGAGGGCACCAGATTGAATATTAGATGTTTATGAGCCACCATGTGGTTGCTGGGAATTGAACTCAGGACCCCTGGAAGAGCAGTCAGTGCTCTTAACCTCTGAGCCATCTCTCCAGACCTCATTTGAATTTCTTATAGCTTTATTCCTCTTCATGTTATACATGTTTCCTTCTTTTCCTAGATCCAAAGATTATAGTTACGACAGTCATTTGAACACTGTTGGCTACTGACTTCCCTGTCATTTCCAGGTTTCTGCAGGCCCAGTTGGGGGATATTTTCCTGCTACTCCATATCTATTTAATTTTGGTCACTGGTTATATATTCTCAGTTTTGTACTGCTGAACAATGCATTTAGATTAGAGTAAAATTGTTTATGTAATAATTTTACCCTTTCAAGATCAACTCTTTGAAGACAGAGGTAGAGAATCCTTTATAATGGAGCTACTTTCTAGGTGATCTTTCTGGAAATCTTTACTGAGTTTCTACGGATGCAAGAGATGTCCAAGTGTCTAAGGATGCAGATGATGTCCATTATTCTGGATGGAGGAAGAGAAAATGATGTATGGCCTTAAATGGACACCGAAATCCATTCATTTTCTATTTCCTGGTAAAAATAATTTCTGACCAAGTTTTCTAGTCACTCTTGTGCTTTAGACTTTAGCCAGGCTCATGGTAACTTGTGCAGAGTTCAGGAGTACTGTCTTCAGAGACCCTTCCTCAGGACCATTGTCCCATAATCCCACAAGTAGATGACCTGACCTGGCTCTTCACAGATCCACCCTCAGGAACACTGTCACAATCCCAGCTGCCAAGCAAGGTTTGTTCAGTTATCTTGGTCTGCTCCTTCATTTCAGCTAGCAGACCTGGGTCTGCCTGTCTCCTCTTGTGCTATAGTCAAGAAGCTGACTCCTGCTGAGAACTGAGAAAATGTCTGTAGCCATTTGCTTGCCTTTAGCTGGGGTCATAGGATTATGCTGCTTGCTCTCCAGATGTCTGAAAATCATTGTCACAGAAAGGTTGTATATGTTGCAGCTGTCTGTAGCAAAGCAGACTTTCCCATGATTTAAAATTTGACATGGAAAGTAAAAGAAATTGAGGACATACTCAAAGGGAAAGGGTCAACAACTTGACACACAGCATGGATTTACAACATCTCAAAGTATTTGAAAAGGGTTATCATTTTCCTTTTCAAAATGAATTGTCAACCCAGCATTCAGAACCTCTGATATGTAAGCAGGCCTGTCTCTTCTATAGATAGCAATGATGGTATCATAGTAAATTAGGTAGTTGACTTATTCATTTGGCATCCTTACTGCAATTATCTTCTTTCTGTTATGCAAAAGACCAGCTAGCCACAGATGTCTAAAGGAGGCAGAACGGAACTTAAATAAAAGCTAGGGTTCTTTGAGCATTATTCAGCTAACACTTGAAACATTTTATGAAAACATTAAGCACCTAGAGGTTATTGTCTTTAAGACATCTGAGACGAAGTTGATAGGGAGAATGAAGATCTTCTGCACCTAGCTTACTGTCTTCCTTCAAAGAATATGAAGTCCCTTGAGGAATAAAGCAGAAAAACTTTCAGCAGATCTGAATGGAACACACAAACCTTCATTAAAATACTGATTTAAAAAGAATCCCCAGGTCTTATCTTTCCCACACACTGGGTTGCAATGTAAGTGTTAGATTGCTCAGTTAGTAACCTAGAAGAACAATTATCAAAGTTTGTCAAGTTTAACAATAGGTTGAGAAAAGGCTGATTGAAGAGAACCATCACAATGGGTTTTTACAGGGAGGGTCATAGCACCTGCTATGCTCCAGAAACATGCTTTTAAAGTGGCCTTTGCTTTGACTTCCATATTACTGAAACAAGAATGAAAAACCATGTTCACCAAGAGTGTCGCTTCAAAGAGACAGAAACACTTGGAGCCAGTCAGAATGTGACAAGAGCTTTAAGTATAAAACAGAATGTATGGAATTATGCAGGCTAAGAAGAGCAGTGTAGGAACTCTGAACATGGGGACTATGTAGATTGGGCAGGTTGGGGAGGAGAGGGGCAGGGCGGGGTGGGAGGAAGATGGGAGAAGGAATGAAGGCCTGTGGTAAAACACACATTTGCTCAAATGTTGAAAACCCAAATGCTTGTTAGTCC